CAGTAAGAGGTTTTGCTGGAGAGGGGTGGGCACACATCAGTCCTGGTCTCACCCTCCTCACTCAGCACTGCGGGCACCGATGGCAGAAGGACATGTGTTCAGGCCCCCTCCAACAGCATCAGGGGTTGCACTCGTGGACTACAAACTTGGCTCCATCAGAAGCCACAAGTGGACTCACTGATTATTACCCTGAACTCTCACTGGAAGATGAAAGCATGGAACAAGAAGTCCTTGGCTAATTGCCCTTCAAATTCCCTTGCTTGTCTGCTTCCTCACTTCTAAGCACTCTTCGAAAGGCCCAAGTGCTGCTGCACTCTTCACATGGATACTGTGGAGAGCCACCAGCAAATGCACACTTAACTGCTCAGCTCTCTTCTAACACGAAATAAATCCCCTCAGGCCAGTCCAAAGCAGGTGAGCAAAACTTAGATGTAACTAGAGGACACATTAGCCCCAAACCCCAATATTTACCAAATCCAGTCCTGAAGAACTACCTGGTTTGTGAGCTGTTGGGTTTGCTTAGGTTTCGTTGGTCTATCAAATTAAGATCAACTAGGTAGCCTCAAAAATTAACAACAAATAAGTAATAATGTCCCATTACTCTATGACACCATGCCAGAATTTCAGTAGCAAAGACAACAACACCTGCAAAGTTTCTCCTATTCTGACATCAGGTAATTAAGCAATCGGATAGAAATTGGTGGAACATTATTTTTTCCATGACAGAGATACAGAACACATGGAAGAGCTTACTCTGACAGAATCTATTTTTTTCCTATTATTGAAGTTTTTCCAAGGGAACAAAAAGCACCGTGCAGACTTTTCAAAGGAATTTTGATTACTGCAGGATAGAATTTTAGGAAATTAGCCTTAATAGTGGTGATGTTGGAATGATCATCCATTGACAAGAAATTTAAGAGGTTTTATTACTTACCAAATACACGTTTTATTGCCCTGTTACTTCCACTTACATTTACACTACCCAATTTAAGCCATTCAAATATTGTCGAGAACACCAAGTTTCCAAAAAAACATTGACATATCCTAGAGGCTCTGACATTAGGCAAAATCAAATTAAAGGGTGAGCATAGGGAGGACACATTCCTTATTTATTATCATAATTGATATTCATATATTCACAGTTTACCCAAAGTTCAGGCTATGCAAAAATTCTCAGACCCCTCAAATCCAATTTTTTTTTTTTTTTTGGATGTCTTTAGAAAAGGTTGAGCCTGAACTTCAAATATATTTTCAGGGATTAACAGGAAAGGTTATTTTTTATTACAACCAATTCATTCTAGTTGTAAAACCGTGACTAATTGCACACCACCTTTAAAGTCCAAATGCTGTGAATATATTTGTTCATTTCATTTCGTTTTCTGTTTAATGGGAGATTTATTGAGAAGACATTTGAATGAAGTCAGATGGTGGTATAAGCTTCATTGTCCAGCTTTTTGACATTAAGTCTAACTTTCACATAATGCTGAAAAACAGAGAGGAACTGAAGGTAAGTGAAAATGTGGTGGATGCTGAAAATATAGATAAAAATCACAATAGTTTTTTTGGTGGTTTTTTTTTTTTTTTTTTTTTTTTTTTTTTTTTTTTTTTTTTTTTTTTTTTTTTTGTTTTTTTTTTTTTATGGTCAAACAAGGCTTCCAGAGGCTAACTTGGAATAAGTACAGCTTTAATGATTGCTTGAACAAGGCTTAATAGCCTCAGAATTAGGAGTCAGCAATGTGACACACATACATCCTCCCCTTTCTCCTGTGGCAGCCCATTGGTTTCTTGGGATATCAGCACTAAGGACAGTGCAGGACCTCTCCCTCACTTGGCATTTCCCATTCCATTGCACCCACCACCATTCTAAACTAATACTAACACACACTACTAAAAGTAGTTATGTCTCTGTCACCTTAATGTTTCCCTACACCATTCCCCATCTGTTACAGGTTTGCTCTGTATTTCCATTCAGCAACACAGCAGCTCCTTCTGTAATACCCACTTAAAGGAAATCTTTCACATTTTGATTCTCCTTTCTCAATAACTGTTCTCTAAACTGCTGATGCCATCTGGGAAGCCCTTCTTTCATATGCCAATGCTTATTTACCTCCAGGACCACTCATGGTTTTTCCCCTCAATATCATTCAAGTCCTCCCACGCTAATGAATTGAATCACAGACCTGCAGTTGTCCAGGTCACATTTAAAAGAAGGGGTATTGCATATTTTTGCTGTCCTCCAGTCTGTGTGTGGAATTTAATTTGTGTCCTCTTGCAGATCATCCCTTCTCACCTCATCATCAAGGGATTTTATCCTTGCTTTATCCAAAGAGTACAGAATCTCCCTCCCCCCCACCTTTTTCTAACTTTTAGTGTAGCAAAGGAAAATTCTGAGATTTGTCACTACATAACCACAATATAACTCAAATTCACTGTAGAGCCCTCATTTCATTTTTATTTCCTTTTGTGGTTCTATATGTCTGGACTTCCCATTTTTCCATCTACCATTCCCCATAGGCTTCCTGCTTTAATACTAAAACATCTGAATCTTCTTTATCCGCTATTCCTCCCTTCTATTTAGAAAACTGGCTGAACCTACAATAAAAAACTTCTAGTCAAAGAAATTCCAGGTTTCTTGCACAATCCTAAGGCCACTAAGAGCTTAATCCAGATGACACTGCTAGTTAGACTCCTTGATTTATCAAGCTTTTCCCTTTTAGAACCAGATGCACAATCTCAGTCCTCCATTTCTGTAAGCCAAATCAGCTTCAGAATATTCTTGGACTGTAACATTACTATTATTATATAAAGTGAGAGCACCATGACAAATCAAACCCAAGCCCAACGTGACTTCACCTGGTGGTCCAGGGGCTCCCTGAGGCCAAGCTCCCTTCTCGACGGCTCTCCCCTCAGCAGATACAGCTACCCTTCAGGCTCCCCTTCCTTTGGGGTTCCAGCTGTGGGTTCCCCTGGCAGTGACCCACTCAGCTTTTTAAGCCAAATGCTGAACTCTTCCCCCGCCCCAGGTTCAGCTCAGATCAAAGGTTGAGATCAGAGGTTCTATCCTCGAATCCAAGACTTGTCTGTAATTCACAGCACCCTCTGCTCACATCCAGCACTAACAGCATCCCACATCAACTAACCCTTCACAAACAGTTGATGGCTCTTAGCCCACCAGGGGCAAGTTCAGGGCAAACTCCCCATGTGCAGCATTTTGAGCCCCAGACCTCTGTGGATGTTAATAAATTATTTGTTAGAGATCCTTTCTCCTTCCTCCCACTCCCCCAGTACATATTAACTTATTCTTTCTGTAGGACAAGTTTCTGCAGGCTCTGCTCCTGCTCTCCTCTAGGCAATCTGCACAGAGCACACCCCTCTTTTGCCAGTCTTGCTATGGCAATCTTAACCTTCTGGCAGAAATTCCCTTCCATGACCCCCAGGTCACCTAAAATCCTGCGTCAGACTTATTTTGATCATTCGAGAACAAAGGAAGGGATTCATAGGCCACAGTGACCCTTAACAAGGGGCAGAATTTCACCCTGGACTGATGGGAGGGGATACAGAAAGTTCCTGAATTTGTTGCCAGTATCTGAGCTGTGGAATTGGATGAGGGAAAGAGGAACGTCCACAATGCGAGCACGCACCATGCAGAGGTTTACATAACCCAATTTCAGCAGGAATGTTTCCGTAAGACTTATGCTGCAAATCCCCATTTGGGGGATTTAAAACATTCCCCCGCCAGGTTTATAATCCAAGCACTGCACAAGAAAAAACAGGAAAAAATCTGACCGTAGGCAGGCCTGTGTAACGTTCTCAACCAGTCTGAGTGGAAAAGCCAACAGAAAGGTAAACAAAGAGAAAAGTGATTCACTCGATCTGACTTTGCAAGTCAGCATAAGCTGGAGCTCCTGCTTCCTGCCTCACAGCCACATGCACCATCCATGTTGTTCAGGATTGCCCAGCAAAAGCTGCTTCCCTTTAAGGACACATAAAACTGTTCTATAGATCTCTGCTGGCATTCATAAGAAAGGCTTCTACCATTTAGTCATTTATTACCTTTCTTAAAAGGTTTCACAGCATTCTCCACAAGAAATACAAGCAGATCTGATGTTTTTCTGTGTTCCAGAAGGCATAAACAACACTGTCATTCTGCTATGAGGATTTGTTACAGACTGATCCAGATGCACGTGGTCCTCCGTTCTACCATTAGAAGCTGCCAGCTAAAGAAACTGCAGTCACACCAGCCCGAGTTCACAAGAATACTTTCTTTCAGCATCAGAACTTCAGGAACAAAATTATCATAAAAACTTCATGGCATTACAGATGGCGAAAATCCTTTTGATTTTTAGAACAAAGTAGCTTCTACAGTTCAAACCTTTCTTCCAGAAAAGCATTTTCTCCTCTCCCTGCAGATACTAGCTCAATAGCTCCCCTGGCTCCAACCCACTCTTAGAATGGTGCTTTACCATCTGTATCAAACCATGAGTTTGCCTACATTAAATTACATTCTCCCTTTTCACCCCAGTACTTAATCACATTCTAAGGTTCGATCTGATGAAAAAGAACAGCATATTGGTCACAGCAGATAATCAAGTTATTCCACAAGATCCAGAAGTAGAGGTCTGAGTCCACTTGCACTGAAACCTTCCAGTTTCACATCACATTGACCGTGTGTCAAAGGTTGTCACGTATCCACAGAGATAAATTCATTTCCATTCATTTCCAAGGAAGTGCCCCACGCTGTGTTGCAGCATTGCAATTGCATCTCAGGGCTGGTTGAATGGCAAGGGCTTTCCCATCCATATCATTCTCTATTAATAACTGCATTTGAGTCTTCAAAGCAGTTACACTGCAACATCGGGAACTTGCTATTGTCATAAGCACCCTTTATAAACCACATTTAATATGCAATTTCTAACAACCCATCTGACAAACACCACCCGCTCTCATTTGTGGGATACCCGAGGAAGTGGGCTCTCAACATGGATGTTCTTTTAAAGAAAATAGCAAGTGTCTGAACTGCAAAGACTTTCTGCAGGTAGTTACTGGGCTGTGACTATTAGCATGCTCTGCAGATACAACAGCAACTCAAAGTATTCAAACTGCTTCTCAAAATGAGTTTTGGTCAGTTGCCTTAGCAGTTCAGACAGATAAGAATAGCAGCAACTCTCATGCTTCATATACCTATGACAAACTGAAGTTTGAATGATTAGATAGTTCTTTTATCATTTGCTCTCCACGCATTAGTTTTTGGTTTTTTTTTCTTTTAATCAAAACATAGCAGATATGTATTTCTTTTGTTGAAATAACAAAAACACAAAGGAAAATTGTATTTGCTCTGCAAATAAAGTGTTTCACTTTATTTATTGGTTGTGGAAGAAAGCTAAATTGACATTCACTAAATATTCCTGCCCTGAACCTATTTCTCAGAGTAACTGAAGGAATATGATCAGAATCAAACTAAAAGAGCATACTACAAAACTTACCTGCAAGTATTTTTATGCAACTACATTCATTCATTACAAACCCCAGTTTTAGTAATTAGTCTGCAATCGAGGTAATTACAGATGATCAAATACTACTCCTTCAGCACTGAAAGAGAATCAAAACAGACTAAGCAGTCCATTCACACTTCTCACATTCAGACAGCCCCTCATCAGCTTCTGTGCCAGAAACAGAGCTACAGATCACGTGCAGGGCTAAGGCAATGGAGCACAGAAAGCATTCCCTTAAGTGGGTTTATTTGGTACTATTTTCGTTGATGTTTTACAGATATGTTATCATTGCTGGTACTCAGTGACACTTCAAGATCTAAATAAGCACGTACTGTCTTCTAACAGGTCAGACTACACACTTCAGAGTCAGTAAGCGAATCTGCCAGGGCACGCAGCCTCCTCTGCCATTCCCTGCTGTAGGGCCAGGCTAAGTGAGAAGGAGCAGCAGTGAGCCATCTGTACAGAGCTGCCTGCTGCAGCACAGCCAAGCATTCTCCAAGTGAAGATTTGAAGCATTATTTCATAGCAAAATGCACATGGGGTTTAGTACCACTGCTCAATCACTCCCAGTGTTTCCTACCACACAAATCTCATCTTCTAAGGGGGTACCAGGTTAAATGTATGGGATTGCAGTCTTTTAAAGAAGTAATAGGGCATATGTGAAATGAGGTGGCTAAGGAGGACTGAGGTCCCATTGTTATCTCAGGAGAAGGGAAAGCTGACAACTGTGCTTAAGAAAATCCACTATGGAAAACTGCACTGTGAACAGTTTGTTAGCTTTCCTGCTCTTGAAATAATATGTTAAACAGCACCCTGATGACCTAAAGTTAGCTAAAGTTAATAGATACCTTCCTCTTATTTCCATTATGATTTATGTAAAGTTCAGAAACAAGTAGATCAGTAGCAAGGCTCATGTGACCTTAACCAGATGTTAAGAAAACAGAACTCAAGCTCTGTTTAGCTTAACTCATCCCCTTTGCAAAGGCAGAGAGGAGTACGTGTTGCCAAGAGATAAGGAAGAGCAACGCCTGGGTGTGTATTTCTCTGTATATTGCCTGCACAAGTGTCCTACTGCCAGATATGACCCTGAGCAGCATACACTAATGTGCTTCGAGGGGCTGAACTGAAGGCTCAGGGGCAACGAAGAACCAGTGGGTGGATTGCCATGGAGTAAACCTGATAGATTATTTAAGAAACACCTGTTTGGTTTATTAGGGTGTAAACATTCCTCCAGCAGATACTTCCAAAATAACATGCCTCTCCCCAGCCATGACAAACCAGGAGTGCCTTCCAGATATGATTGTTATGAGTTGGCTGGAAGTTCACAGACATCTCCATAAACGTTTTATAAACCAGGTATCAGCTACTACTTGCTCACAGACATGTTTTTGAAGTAGCCCTGAACAGAGCATAAGAACCATTCACATTTATCTGAAGAGTGAGACACTCCACAAGGCTTCTGCTACTACTGCTCAGTTGTTTCCTTTTTTTTTTTCTCCACCAGCCAGAAAAAGTTGGGGTAATTCCAGCAAGCTTCTGCAGTTTTAGCTTTGTTGTCCCAGCTACAGACCCTGAATCAACTTGTTCCAAGGTGCAGTTTGGCTATCCTTTCCTTGCAGTCTCATTATTTCAGTGATATACATTTTTCCCCCATGGACTACAGAGGGAGGTCTTTTCCCCCCACTTTCCTCAGCTTCGGCTCTTTAACTTAAGTCCCAACAGTTTATTACACACTAACACATTGCTAAACCACAGTCTAGCACTAGATAATCTTTTCCTGCAAGTTCCTGAAGTCTTCCTGAAGAAGAGAGGTGCTCCAACCAAACAAGACAGCAGACAGGAAAACTGAGGGTAGGATGCTTTCACTGTTTGAGTATTGGGTAACTACAACTGTGAATTCCATCAGTTATAGAACTCTCAGTCACCATTTAATTAGCAAACTCCAGAGAAAGGTGAAAGTATAGCCAAATCTAGTTAGGCATGTCTGTGTCCAGGCCAAGTCCCTGGAGGGAAAAGCAAGCAAAGAGTGCATGCAGTTGAGCATGCAGTGCTGATTTATTCAGCTCACTTTAAAAAACAAAGTAAAACAGCAAGCCCATCTCCTCCACGCTGGCTCTATCACTTTTTGTGCTGGTTTTTCAAGAGGAAAATTCAATTTTTAACAGAAATTGGTCTTTAGTCTGACAAAAGGAAGTGTACAGTTCTGTACTGCAATCAGGATCAATCATTTCAAACTCACCCAGGATGATTTAGGATCATTGTGCAACGTTCTTCAGAAGGGTGTGCGCTGCACCGAGTAGCTCACAGCCTGAACATCAGCATGGTGGCCTGTGCACAGGGAAGTAACTTCTCTACTCAGCAAGGACAATGGGAAATTCATAAAGTGATATTTTAGGGTTTGTCAATATACAGACTCCTTAACATCTCAGCAGGAGTATCAGCAGCAGGTCCCCACCTTCAAAGAGCGAAGGGGTAAAATACTGGCACCTATACAAGCAAATGGGAAGTTAGCCACAAAGAATGAGACAAAGAACAAAGCACCTTCCACCCCAAGCAGTGGTCTGGAGCTGCCTTAGAGATGTGACTCAGCTCCTGTAATGCCACAATAAATAGAAAAAAAAATTAATAACCGTGAAGATGATATCAGAGGGTCAATTTTCAGAAATCACCAAAACTCATGCAATGTATTTATCACAAAAGCAGTTGCCCTCAATTGTATTTCAACAATAGGTTTATTTTAAGAAACATAACATGACATTAAGTAAAAATGCAAAATTGTGCAATTATGGCAAAATGTTTAAAAATCCACACATTTGCCCTCATAGGACTACAGTACTTCTTACTAACATACCTGAGCACTGAATGTTGGGTGCCATTTCTAAACAGCTTTACAAACAGGGAGCTCATCATTTTCTTGTAGAACATACAAACACTGCATGTTTGGTGCACCACAATTGCTTTTGTTATCCTAAATTTTACTGGAAGAATCAAGCAGAAATTACAAAACACTTCCTTCTAAAGTAATCAGTAATTTTGGAAAAGATTTACCCCTCTGTAAATCCTTACAAGAAATTAATTTCATAAAAGGGAACAAATGAATGCAGAAAAAGTTACTAAATGGGGAGAAAACATACAGGTTACTGTTTAAATTTTCGCAGTACCTTTGGTGCAATTATTTTTTCCTGTGCTGTGCAAGGTTACTTAAGCTCGACTCTAAAGCAAAAACTTCACCAGGAATCTGACTTTCAGCAAAATGGAGAAGCATTTAAGAATTGGCAAAGTCTCACAGCTATATTACCATCTCAACAAACTCCTCATGCAAAAGATTCCGTATATTCTACTCCCACAGCAAGTTCCAGGGTTCAGCTTTGAAACACATTACAGGCTTGGATCACACCCTCAGTTTGAATGGTTAAACAGAATGGAGATCTTCGTACTTTAGTGCAGATAAACAAAATTAACAAACCTACTGCAGAATTAACCACAGCATATTGTACTTCTATACATCACATGACCAGTCAATCGCTAACTCAATTCTATTTCATAGTTTCAAGTAATATATTGAAATTTTTTCTACTAAATAAATATAGAAGATTGTCAAAAAGCAGCAAGAAGTCTCGTAAATATTCAACCAAGCTTAAAAAAAAAAAAAAAAAGGAAAGTTATATAACACTTTGCAAAAGAATGGTTTTACACACAAATGCAACACTGTTAGGGAGGGTGCTTCAGAAAGCTTGCAGCTAGAGGCCTACAACAGCGCAAAGAGAGCCAAGGACTAAGGATAACTTTAAAAATGAAATTAGTTGTACTAAAAAGAAAGCTCTTACTCTTGGCTATGGATATATATAAAACAGTATCCAGAAGAAAACTAAACAAAGAAACAACACGCCTCAACACTGTTGTAAAATGCAGTCTTAGCAAGCATCAGCTTTACTTCAGAAAAAAAAAATCCGGCGCTTGCATCTGAAAGAAGCAGTTTGGTAAATCTCTGAAGATGAGGTATGTAATGCAAAGAGGCTTTTTTTTTTTTTTCCTTTTCATTTCACAGTTTTGTTTTTGTCTTTTTAACATTTTGTGCAAGAATTGAGAAATAGATCCAGGCCGGTATCTGTAAATCAGAAAGATTTCATTTGGGAACATAAAGACCACATGGCGAGTGAACATTATCCAAATCCTCAGCCATGCCAGGGGGATAAACATTAGTGAGGTCACTATTTGGCTTACTGAAATATCAGCTGTTAAGCCAGATAACAGTAAGAACTTAGAGCCAGTAATGGCCACTGCCATTTCAAGTTAGTTGGTTTATTCCTTCAGTAGATTTGAGAAATAGGAAAGAGTAAGATAGCTCACACCTGTTGCTCCGGAAAAACTAGACCTGCAGCAAACCAAACGTGGCAAGTTACAGCTGCTAAGGTTTTTAGGATTCCTCTTTTCCCTTTCATGTCAAGTTTCCACTATTGAAGTAGAGGCTGAACTTGGAAATTTTTTTTACTTCTGGAAAAGTAAGCTACATGTTTAATACATAGAGAAAAGTGTTGCAATACATTGGATTCCTATTCTAGATTAGCATCTAATATTATTTAAGCCATGGACACTTGTTATCAATTTTGCTTTAATACACTGAATAACGAAGACAGCTCAGTAGTGCAAAATTTTCACATTATAGATCAGAATGAAACAAAGTATTTGAGGGCTCAATCACAGGGAGAAAAAATATAACTTGTCAAGTTAAGCCACACATTTTAAAGTTACTGGAGCACATGCTAACACTGCACACAGCACTGTACTTTAGTGGAGACAAAATGAACACTCCACAAAAAAAAAGTCAATATTAAGGCCATATCCTGTCACCATCCTGTGCAAGAATATCACTACAGTAAAAATGTTATGTTAGAAAAGACAATATAATGACAGAACAGGGCCTGGAAACAGACACTCAATGAAAACTAACAGGCTGTCTTAAACAGCAGCGTAACATTAGCCCATTTCAGACAAACAAGTATTAAAAATGTACTAGCACCATCAACTTTTGGATTAAAGCCCTTTATGGGATGAAAAAAAGTTTTAAAGCAGTGTTATAAATATTTTTTACAGCACTACACCTAAACGGCAGTAAATAGGTGTTGGGATTTGTTTTCCATATCTTTTAAGCTCAAATTTCAACAAAAATCCATGGACAAGAAGTGGCACAGCAATCTGAACAGGCCTCCTTCCAGGCAAAGGTACTCCGTGTTCCAATTCTGACTTGAGTTTGTCCTCCCAAACTGTAGTGCACAAACAACAACACAAAACATCTTTGCAGACTTCAAAAACAGTACAAAAAAAAAAAGATCATTATGAATCAGGATCTATCATTCCTCTATGCAATTTTAATTTCAAATGAAAAAAAAGCCAAAAAAAAAAACCAAACAACTTAGTGATATTGCCTCAAATTTTACCCGTATTTAAAAAAAAAAAAAAAAAAGAAAAAATGAAAAGTCACTCCAAAACAGCTTGGACATCCTTAGCTATTAATGCTAGATTTTCTTTCACTGTAGTGCATAGTTATCCTGACTCTTCCACTTAACTTGCTCTTACCACAAATACGTCTTCGAGTATGACATGATTAAGTGTTCACCAGAAAAAAAAATGCTGATAATTGCACTTCGTAACCTCCTTCTCATTTCCCAGGAAAATATCAGTAAATATGAAACTGAACCAGTAATACCCTTCACAGACTGCAACCTTTAAAGAGCACCCATCCCCACATAAAAAAAAAACAAACACAAACCTGTCTGTTTCAGCTTACAATAAATACTGACAATTTCTTTGTTTTAAGACGTTTTCTCTAGCATCGGATCACCACTGAAATCACTAAGGCCTGTTACTGAAAAAAGAAAATTAAATAACTTTCTGAAGACACTGTGGATACAACTTAGCAACTACACATTCAAAATGCCGGCCTAAATCCCAGAGCCTATCTGGAGTCTCATATACTTTTTGCCATTGGTCAGTGACCTCATCATACTGATAGAGAGAATTCTTCCTGCTGGTTCTGAAAACGTGCTCTTCAACAGTGACTTGAGTAGCTCTGACAAACAGGTGGAGTTTGTTTTTGAGGAGTACAAGTTTTATGTATGGATTAATGGATTGATCACACGGGAAGTCTTTCTTTCGAGTCCACTTATTTTGTTCAATGTCATAGGCCTCTACGGTAAACATACGTTGATGGTTTCCACAGGTTCCAGCTATGTAGTAGATGGAGTCATTGTACACAGTTGCCAAGCCTTGGATTCTAGGCACAGTCATTGGAGTCAAAAACCCCCAATAATCCTTCTGAGGATCATAGCAGAGAAAAAATTCCCCTGGAAAGAGAGGAAAAATAAAACATAACTTATGCTTTATTTCCATAACAGCAATTCTGCAGCTATTAAGTTTACAGTTATATTCTTCCACGTATTAATGTCTACAAACTCTTAAAAGCCCTGATCCTAGAACAAAAATCCAACATTGTCTGCTTTCTTCAAAACTCACAGAAATACTAGCAGCAAAAGCAAAAGCTACTCTGGGTTTCTATCCTAGCTGAAGAAAACCGAATTTGAAGTATACCACAAACACTGTGGTGGAATGCATATTTCCCACCTATTCTTTACTACTTTTAAACCATGCTTAAGAACTTGGGATAAAGCCTGTCCAAATTCCAGCCTTCAAGCATCCAAAGTATTTATTCTGTTCTCTGTTATCTTCATAAAGTGTAACCTACAGAAAAAATCTCAGAATTCAGTACTTGAAAGTCGTTAAATCCGAGCAAATAATGTGTCTTGCACTACAGACTCTGAAGCTGTTTGTATCACTTGGCTGGGTTATACAGGTTGACTGGGTTTCAAAGGATGCCAGGTGAATACTTGCACGAAGCTGTGATTCATCATTAGTTTTGTGCCTGGACTATATGGTATTTCTTCTGTTGACTGCACAGAGCAGCTTATGCAGACTGTAGATAGCAGAAGCTCAGATGACAGAAAGCTCATGCTCTGCAAACTTGGTAAGAAGAACATGGATAAAGATTACCTTGTCTTTTATGAAGCTCCGGGAACAAAGGGCTACAATTTGCCAAATATTAGCACAATTCAACTTCATGCCTATTTTACATGGATATTTTAAAGAATTTTAACTAGGCTGCACTCTAACCAAGCTCTTCAAATGTGACAAAGAATACAGACATAATACAATAAAAAGAATGGAATGCAGCTTAAGACATTAAGTCCTACAGGTAATGCATTTTCTGATTACTCACTTTTGTTCCATTGTGTAATCTCCTATGACTGATGCCTGCAACCGAGCTGGCATTTTAAGACTCATTAATCCTTACTGACTACTTCAAACTTACGAGTTTTCTCTACAAAAATTATTAATAGTTAACTTATTGTAGACTATTAGAGTGCAATTCAGTCAAGGTTTTCACCTATCACACAAATAGGAAAGTTACTCATTTTCTGCAACATGGATTATTTAATTTGCTGGTTAGTGCAATGACGTGGTTTATTTATGCAAGCATTGAGTTGTCATTAAAACCACTGAAGCACAGAACTATTGAAACTAAGATCTGTAAACAAGATGCATTCTTATTCTATAAGTCGTAATGTCTCTCTAAAAATTATCTACTTTATAGTGGTTGCAAGAAACATTTAAAGGACAAACACATATTCTAGGTTGAAGACTCCTCAGTGCTCCTCTTCAGTGATCTAAAGAGGATATCTGACCCAACAGACTGAGAAAACTAGCAACAGTAACAACTATTTAGAGCCACAACAGGATCAGATGTCATACAGATACGATGAAAGAACAAAACCATCTATAGGTCCTGTGGAAGCCCTCCAACCTTGCTGAGTGGCAGGAGTGCAACGTCAAGAAGTCAGGTTGACTTCTGATAAATTACAGTGAGTTTACAGATCTAGGACCCAAGTTCTGAAAGTGTTTGCACAGGAATGGACCTTAGCAAAATAAAACTAAGATACTCCCCTGTTCAATCTTCCTTTCCACTTGGGAGTCTTACTACAACCTCATATACAGCCTCAGCACTTTTAAGCTTAGAGTGCAACAGGGTCAAATACGTACAAAATTATGCATTTCATGTAAGCTACATAAATAAAGTAAGAAAGGGAAGAATAAATGATTTCATCCATTCCCATAACAATCCTTTTTGGAGTCCTAAAATATAATTACCAGTCTAAACGAACTGCAAACATCTTTTCTGTCACACCACTTTCATCTGCATCTTGGCAATAAATCATTCAGGACATGGTTTTTTTTAATCCTTATTGATTATTCTGATGTACCTCTCAAATATGGATATAAACACTGCTGGTACTACAACTGTGCTTAAATCATTAAGTTAGGCATCAAAATGCAACAAGCTTGATCACTTATTGGAAGATGGGATGGAAAGACCACACTGTAATTCCCAACCAAATGAAACAAGCTAATTAGAAAAAGATCAAGCACCTTCCTTAGTTAGCTAAAAAGCTAACTAACAGAAAGCAGGGTGGGACAGAAGGAAGGCCTACCATGGCTAATTCATTTTTTTACAACTCACTAAGAGACTCCAGGCATTTTCACAGGTTCAGCTAAATAAAATGTAAAATACTTTTTCATGACAACAGCTGTTCTTCAACATTAGTGCATTTCACCCAAATAAAGATGTAATACATAATTTCCACCGTACAACTTAATACTGAATTGTTAGCAGAAACGGCAGTTGTGGCAGGATTTGATACAACTCAGTGACACATGCCCAGGGCCCAAAAACTCAAGCAGTAACTTCATTCTTCCTTGCTCACTGCCCTCCCCAACTTTTCTCCCATTCTACTGTCCTGGGCATTCTTTAGATGTCCCAGAAACTTGGGCTTTCTACGGTGCTTTTAAGAGACAGTTGGCTTGAACAACCCCCACTTCCAGTAAAACACCATAAAGCCAGTCAAACCGCCTTACCCTGTAAAACATAGATGTTATCCTTATATTCCACAGCACTATGAAACTCCATTGCTACCGGCATTGGACAGACAGCCGTCCAACAGTTCTCTCTGCTGTCATAACACTCCACAGACTTGAGAGAGTTTCGCCCATCTCCTTCATAAACACGACCACCTATTGCATACAGTTTACCACAGCAATGAACCAATTTGCAGCCTATTCTGGCTCGCAACAAAGGAGCTTTCGGAATCCACCTATTGCCAGAGTGATCGTACATCCAGAAATCACTCTCTGCTCTGTGATCAATGGAGACCTCACTGCTGCTTGGTCTGTAACCACCCGCAATATAAATATCATTATCAGGAGATACAAGAATTCCAACCTCCCTCAAGTCATTTGGTGGCTTGCATAGTTTAAACACTCTCCCTGTGACCGAATCTAAACAAGGCACTGTTTGCTTCTTTCCTGAGTGTTTGTGGGCAGCATCAAAGCATATGATCATTTCAGAAGCAGTCATTCCAAGCCGTTGTGTATAGCCATTGGCACTATGTTGTCCCTTTTGTACACAGCTTTTGGCCATAGCCTGTGCAAACATGGGAGGGATTTTCTCTAAAAATGTCTCTTCCAATAGAGGCATACGGATGCATTTGGCAAATATTTCTGGAAGGTGCACTTCTCTCTTATTTTGTTCATGCTCAAACCACCTTATAATGCTGTCATAAACATGTTCTTCTTTGTCTACATTTAAGTCATCACTGTCGAGTATACTTATGAGCTGGTCTTTTCTCAACTGAAGAAACTCTTGCTCTTTGGTGACACTCAGAAACTTTTTACGAATGTAGTCTTGTGATCTGTCTTTGAGTTCCTGATGACCATAGTGATCAGCAAAGATAAACACCCCAATGGAGTTCTGTGGGTCCAAGTGACTGATCATGTATTTAGCACACTGGTCTTGTATGGAAGGGATCTGGAAGATACTAGCTGCAGTGAACAAAGCTTGAACGTTGGCCTCTGTCAGCATTACTCTGGAGGTATATGCATAGTTCAACACTAAATGCATTGACTCTGCTTCAACACCAACTATACGAACTTCTTTCTGGGTACTCTCTGTAAGGCCGCTAGTGAACATAGATCTACAAAAGAAAAATATTCAGCAGTTTATTTGCAATTACCTTCTAACTACAGATCTAAGAAATTTATGCCATACAGCTAACCCCAATACAGCTAATCCCAACACCTCTGCCCTTCTATGGGCACAAACGCATTTAACAGTGATGTTACACTGTTCTGCTCGGGATCCTAAACTTAAAATCAGTCCCAGACTTAATAGGTCAAAAATGCTAACTTGGAATTACTTCCTTAATTATCCCACTAATTCCATATAAAAGTTCATTCATTTTAAAAGCAAAGCTCTTGACATATTCAAGTCATCACACTCAACTTTCAACATGTTATTCATATGCATATTCCAGCAGGACAGAATACTTAACTTTAACTATACTGTTACTGTAAAAAGATACTTACTAGGTACACTGTAACATCAATAGTTACATGGAATGTTAGTAAAGGTGTGCTTTTTTTTGGTCATTTAATGAAAATCATTTATAATTCCCCTTTTACTCATCCCTAGATCAACAGACCACTGTACCTGAAATAAGGACTGATTGCAGCAAGAACATTTCTATGACAGGAGAATGTTTTCCCATGATCCACTTCCACTACAATATCTGTCAGTTGTCCTTCATCATACATGGTTTTAAGTTGTTGAAGAATACTGCAAGCATGGAAGGGGTCCATTCCACTGCTGACTGTGTTTGAAGGAGGAATCCCATTCACCGTTTGTGAAAACTTACTTGGTTCTACAAAGCAAAATTGAAACCATTTAAAACAGAAAAAGAGAAAGCACACGTGCAGAACAAATATTTAATGCAAGTTAATACTCCACATGGCCTTACTGTCATCATCCGTTAACAGCAAGTCTAACATTCCCAAGGGTGAGTAAATATATAAGGATATATGGGAGTGGGTTGAATTTGTTTGTTTGAGCTTTTTTTTTTTCCCCCCTCCTTCCCTAGTTTACTAACTTTAAGAAAAAATACAGAGTATTTACATGAATGTCCTACTGGATATCTCTTGGGAGGTGTGTTGGAGGGAAGGAAGCATCATAATGTTTACTGACCTCTAAAATGGGAAGAACAAAGAATGCAGAAGAGTAGGACTAGCCCACAACCTAAATCACCATTTCACAAGTCTGTATGCATGTACTTAACTTCACACTGAAACAGGAACCAGCTACTGACTTCCACAAATGATGACTAACAGAGTAAGAGAATGAAGAAACAGCCTTACAGTAAATATATAGAGCAACAAACCTAGAAGACGAATTCACATAAATCTGTATATCTGGTTACATGTTTTTATTTACCGGTGAAATGCAATTACCACTTAAGACTTCCCAGGTGTGAAAGTACTTGCATATCATTGTGAAAACAAGCAAAGAGAACACACTCCTAAGTAACGTGATATGCTTAACCAAGTAAATCCCAAAGTGAAAATTGAGTAATACCTCAAGCCCCAAAAAAACTGTTTCGTAATAGCAACAAGATTTTTACGCAACAACAACAAAGGAGAACTCAAAAGAAAAACATTAGGTGGTAAAAGCTGCAAATCAGGTGATGCTGCTGACTGCAACTGAGAACCTTCAAGAAATGTAGGGCAACACAAAGGGGAATAAAGGACAGTGAACAACAACTGGGAGATAGAAATTTTAACACATGGCAACACACAGGAGCTACAGTTTCTCTTACTCAGACACAGTTTTGAGCACTCTCAATTAAATCAGCGCGGATCTGCTGGTCAGGCACACGTTTTCCTGGTAGGCTTAAGGCCAAATATTGTCAGTGCCTCTTCAAACTACTGTTAGAAGTCCTCAAAACACCTTTCCTCTCCCCTCCTCCCCCCCAAATAAGTTAGTAAATACTATATTTAAGGACAAAATCTTCAACAGGGGGATTGATTGCAGTAACTAACCATCAACATTCAAAAAAACTAACCAGTCACAGGGAAAGAGGGGAACTCAGACCTCTTTCAGAAGTAGAGTTAGTGATAAACTTCCAAGGAAATACTTGGTACACGGTTGCCAACGTTTCCTACCTGGCCAAACCTTAATGTACAATAAGGCAGCGATACAGCTGCCACTGAAGGGGAGTTTGAGTTACATTCTAACACTGAAAAGGTTCAAAATAGCCCCTCCCTGACCCTGCCAGTCACCCAGGCAATGAGCACATGCGACCAAGGCAGCTTCCAGCACTGATGGAATCAACCAGGAACGCTCACATCCACGTATACGCTTCGCTCTTTCACCCTTAACACCATGCACCTCACGGGTCTCACGCAGCCACTCTCACTCACCACCTCCGTCTCCCTATCACAACAAGCACCTTTTTCTCCTAATATTCTTCCCACTCACACCCCCGTTTTTCCCAGCACCCCCCAGGACTCCCCACGCTCACTCTACACACTTCCACACCACACTCCTCTCCAGATCAGCCCCCCATCCCTCCCAGCCCCTCCCACCGGGACCCCCTTAAACCCGACTCCCCCAAACCCACATTCCCCCACGCCGCACCCCAACCCCGCAGGCCTTACGGGGCCCACCAGCTCGACCCCCACACCCTACGCCCCGGCAACCTTCCCCAACCGCACCGACCTCCTAACGCTGCCATTCTCGGGGCCCCAGCTCCGGCAGCGGGAGAGGGGGGGGAAAGGGGGAGGGCGGCCCGAGAGGAAACGTCACCTGCGCCGCTTCCTCCGCGCCGCTTCCTCTTCGCTCGCTCCCGCGGAAGCCTACCCCCGCTCCCCGCACCACCCAACAAGAAGCACGCTGATTGGCAGGGCGTCACCGAGGCCTGCTGGGTAATGTAGTGCTGGCGGCGGAAGGAGCACGGCTTCTGCCGCGTGGGGAATGCTGGGACTTGTAGTCCGCAGAAAGCGAATGGGGGCGGCCCGGGCTCTGTTCGTCGCCTAGCAACGAGGAGGCGGGAACTGAAGGGCGGCCATTTTGGGGCCCTCAGGCAGGGTCGTGAGGGTGGAGCACGGCCGGGAGGGAGTTTGCTCGCCTTTGGACACTGCACAGAAATGGCCCTTCTGTATAATAATGATTCCAGTCCCTGCTCTGTCAGGCGTTGTGTTGTGTCTCTCCTTTTCACACTGACCTGCAGCTGCTGGCAGCAATTGCCAGCCCTCAAGGGAGAGCAAAGATGGCACCCAGCAGGCAGGGGCATCGGCTGCCGTGGTCCCTGCTGTAAAAGCAAAAGATGGCAAGGAAAAAAAACCAACAAACAGGCAACAAACAAACAAACAAACAAAAACCGACCCAAAGCAAACACAGTATTTGCTGCCTTCCTGATGCCACAAGGGCAGGGCGGATTGTGGTCACAAGCCCCAGATCTTTCCAGCCTCTTAATTAGGAGGAATGCACAAACTCACGTTTTTTTCTGTCTTTCTGTAATGGTGACCGTGGCACACAGCCAGCTGTGCCCTGCGCAGAACGCAGCTGGGTTACCCCGGCAGACAGACCCCATCTTGTTGCCAGCGCCCTTTCACATCACAAGGCACCTTTCTGCCCCAAAGATGAAGCAGCTGACAGTCACCAGCTTTTTTTTTTTAGCTTTTTTTTTTCTTTTTTTTTTGGTGTTTGGCCATGACTGGCCGCTGGTTTCAGTTTTGATAACTGAGCCATTACCAGCAGCTTACTGTGGAAGAGGAATAGTGGAAAAATAGTGGAAGCGTTTTGAAGGACTGCGTATTTTTTTTCTGTTATAAATCTAAATAGATGTAATGCAACTTTGTGGTACAGCTGTTTGCTCAAGGAAAAATAAATGCAAACAAACCCAAACCAATTTAGATAAGATTTTTTAAAGCAACGTTTCCTTTTAGCTCTCAGCAACAATGTGCCACGGGTATATTACAGTGCTCTGATGCAGATGAGTTCAGAAGCAAAAATAGCAGTGCTCAGTGTCTTCTGACTGCTTCTTACGTGGTTTTGCTTTCACTTGCCACGAGTTGCTTTGCCCTCGTTTAGCCATTATCAGTGGTGTCCAGGCTGCTGTCAGTAATAATGCAACACAACACAGGAATGATGGGGGCTCTGATGAAGGAGGTGTGAAAGAAAATAGAACTGCACGTCTGCAAATCGATTCTGCAGTTTTCCAATTTCCCCATTCAGTAATGGCATGGCCTGTGAAATTGTCCCTAGAAATATAAAACTAGGGGACTCCACTCTTACCTTTTAGCAAATGACATTGCCTAATGCAGTTCATTTCCTTTGATGTGGACAGTGAGGCTGGGCTGGATTAGAGTTCAAAATGCAGAAGCAAAATGGAAAATGTTTTTTAATATAAATACTGCATTGAACTGGTATATTGGAGTGAAGTATTTCATGAAATAGCTGATCTTTGTAAGGTTCCTGTGAAGAAAATAAATTGCCATACAAACAGGTTTAGCTATTCATGAAGAGGCACTGATATCAATGCTTTCTCTTACTCTGAAATCCTTCTCAGGTACAGTAAATACACTGTCATGCACTCCCCTCTCAGGAAACCTTCATTAGCACTCCCTAGCACTAAGAAGATTTTGCACAGTGACACATCCATGGTAACCCAGGGAGCAAACTTTGTCACCCAGGTCTACATACTATTTAACTGGCATTCTTGGGTGCAAAATTAGAAGCACATTGCCAGTGCGGACTGCTCCAAAATCTGTGGCAATTGTGATGTTAAAGCTAGGCTTTATAAGCAGCGCTTGCATTGCTGTTTATACTCAAATGCTATCATCAATGCTTTCAGAAATCACAAGGTTCCAAAAGAAAGGGAGTTCCAGCTCCCTTTGTTTCTGCTGCATTTATTTCTATCTCTCTTCTGTATTTTGCTTGGGAAGCAATACAAGCCCAGGATTTGAGCATAGAACTAGAAGTCAGAACGTTGGAATTTTGTCTTATTGCTGACTCTAATTTACTAGGTGCCATTGATCAATCATTTGATTTCATGGATTGTGGCCACCCAGAAGACAGTGGGGAGTTATGAAGCCTTTTAAGATATTTTGACATAAGTTTCTTTATCAACGTTGTAATAATTTTTTATATGGTATTTTGTTTGGTTGACTTCAGATCTTCTGTCCAGCAATCCATTAGAACTCCTGGTATAATTTAAGATGTTGCATGAATACAAAATGTCCTGAAGGTTAAGATACTAGGATACTTTCTTTTATGCTTTCACACCTAATTTATCATTCCTGCAGATACCTCTTGAAAGAATTACAGCTGAAAGTATTTGGAGAAAGTGCTTCCCATTTGATATTCCGAAAATTCAAATGTAAGGATTAAATAATATCGACTGAGAAAATGCAGAATCCAAGCCTGCTTTTTATAAGTGATTAGAAACATTGCCCTCCTTATGAACTCTGAGCTGGCTCTGCTTGTTCTGGGATTCTTGCCTTTGGAATAAAGAATGTCTTTGTCGCGAGCCCAAGCAAGAAAAGAAGAAGGAAAAAGTTTCAGGAAAGAATGAACAAAAAATATACACTTTTTTTTTTTTTTTTTTTTTCTTCCAGATATTTGAGAACTTAGAAGGGACCAGAAAAAAAAAAAGTTTGAACAATGAAGTTATTGAAAAAGTTTCCCTTCTTCATTACATCTACAGAACAAATTAATTAGAACGTTTTGGTTCATCTACCTTCAGTGAAGGGACCAAGAAAACGTCCCATCTTCAGCAAATTTTGGTTTGGGTCATCTGATGTGTCAGTGCTGCACAACAGGAGGTGCAGAAAGCAGGTTTGGAGGATCTAGTTACTGATACAAAACATCAGATAAGATTTTTCTTTTTTTTTTCCCCTGAAGACCAAAAAAAAGACAATAAATGCAACCAGCCCAAAATTTAAAGAAAAACGTGAATTCAGACAGCTTTTTCTAAAAAACCCTGCTTTTATTCATATTAGTATTTCCATTTTGTAGACCTTGTTGAATCTCAGTTTGTAGGAAGACAGTGCAGAACCCTTCTTGCCTTTGTTTTTGGCCCTCCCCAGTGTGGTGCTTTTCACTGAAAGGTGGGAGCCATCATGAGAGTAAGGACCTTCCAAATGCACAGCGTGCCCCAAACGAGGGGAGCCGGGATTGGCAAAAGCTTGGCAAGGTTTTCACAGCAACATTGTGAACATTATTCTTTTTATTCATGAATCTCCAATTAAAAATTGAAAAAAATAAAAGCCAACTCCCAGCAAAATGGTTTAAAATTGTTTAACTATAGAATTTAAATACAGTACTAGCAGAAATGAACAATATTACTTGCCCTCTTCAGAATATGCCAATTCTAACGCTGACAATTGCTTAGCTATTTGTACAAGTTAATTTGTGCTGTGGATCTGTGAGAAGCAATACACCTGACACAACTGCACTCTGAGAAACTTTCATATTTTAATTGGAAAAATCTCGGTATTCACTGAGGAACAATCTAACCTTGGAAAACAATCTTTTCCCAATTTGTCTTTAATGCATAAAACACTGCTCATTTTCTGCAGCTCTGTCACCGACGGGCACATTAATTTGGTTGCACAATAATTTAATACATCGATGCATTGATTGAAGCAGAGAGTTTTTATTTAGCAGTTATAACACATTTCTTGCAAAATCTTTAAAAAGGCTCTTCTTGCTGCAGTTTAAGTAGGGGGAATCACAGATCATGAAGGGAAGTTGCCCTTCAAAGCCAAATGATCGTTCCACGCTGAGCACAGTGGGCATTACATCAGAACAGAGCGAAGACTGGCAGGAGGCAATTAATGGGGCAGATACTGGAGTGTCTTTTCTGATTACCCCATACTGTACTGTGGATTTGGCCTCTCTGAGACAGGCTGGTAGAAACAAGAACCCTAATGAGATATGGCTCTGCTAATGTCAAGAAGTGCCACTTCCTAGCAGCAGGAGCAACTTTATTGAAACCATCTGTTGTTTTGGAAGATGCATATGCGCGCACACACACTTCCTCCTCCCAGAGTGTTTAACCTTTCTCTTAAGGCTGACTGAAATCGTACAGCTAATCCCTCCTTAATCTCAGAATGACAGGCCCTACTGTTTTCAGCAAGTCCCAGCAGCTACTGAAAACCTGGATGGCTGGTGGTGTTTAAGTGACATGACAGTGATGCATTCTGGAGCAGTCACTTTGGAACAGAGTACCCATTCATCCACTGTCACTGCAGCTTTGTGAGGCCTGGGTACCTGCACAGAGATGAGAAATCCGTACTGTGCCAGATCTGCTCAGGACGGGGGACAGGAAGGAGATTCTTCAAGTTTGGTCCCAGTGAGACCTCCTCCTCAGCAGAGATAATCCAACAGTTATATCAAAGGAAACAGCCTTGGTTGTGTTACAGCAGACTCAGAATATGACTTGTGCTACAATTTGTCAGTTCTGTAAGCGTATCTCTGTGATATTTCCTCCTTAACATTGCTAGGACCCCAGAGCTTCTGGCAGCTGTGCTACATGGGCAAGCTTCAGCTCCAGCTGCAAGCAGAAAGCATGGCAACTGTAACTGCAACTGTAGGAGAGGTGGCAACAGAGAAGGAGTGACTTCTTGATGCTTCATGTCTCCACTATCCATGTTTGCTCCACTGTGTGTGCTTGTAATGAAGTCCTTCAATGGGTGAAGGAGGAGCCCCCCAAAAAACAGTTCAGTGATGGCCTGGCCAGCTCCAGCAATTAAGAGATGGATCTTTATATAGTAATATTAATGTTAAAAATCCAGA